TTTGTCCGATTCACTGAATGGTTTGAAATTGATCTGAACAAACGATTTTGTCTAATGCTAACGGTTTTCAGAATCAATCTTGTCTTACTCGTTTATTCGATGCAACCGAGTCAGTCCCTTGATGTATTTGAGGATGTCATCATCCACATTTCTCATAGATTTCTCACATACAAAAATCTGACTTAAAAACTGAGATGAGGATTTTTCGAAAAGACTGCGTGCGTTGAGTTGATATTGATGTTGGTTTCAAGGAGGGATGCGCGGTTGGCATCAAATCCGTACTGGATGAAAATGATCGTGTCATTGCGTCGTTCCGTTGCCATGGATGGACGTTTCTCTCCGGACCAGGCGTTAAACCGGTTCTCTGTGAATTGACCGGTCAGTTGCTCAAGACTAAAGCTAAAAATTTCCGAATCTGTTTAGACTGGGTGCCTAATAAGGAGTTTTGATGTTGCTTCATAACTGCGTTGTCATATACTTATTGTTAGTTGAAAACGAAATGAACAAAGTCTGCAACTTCTCTGCCCTGTAACAAAACGCTCTATCACTGAATGACGACCATATCGTGATCGATCAAAATGAGTTTGAGATTTCGGTGGTTTAGGTCGAGCGAACGGAAATGTGCACGGTAAAGGTGGATCGATGCACATGTACGGTAAAAACTTTTACGGGGGAAACGGCATTGTCGGAGCACAGCAATCGATGGGCACGGGTATTGCTTTCGCGTTGAAATACAGGAAACAGAAGAATGTTTGTTTCACGTTGTTTGGCGATGGAGCTGGCAATCAAGGACAACTTTTTGAATGTATATTCTGCTTAGTTTGAACACGTTGTTCTTCCCATCCCTAACTAAATGAATAGATTGCAGCAATTGAAATGGCTAAAAGGGAATAGTATAAACAATGAATGTTTACAAACAATAAATGCACTGAATTCCTATTTGGTAGCGACGTGCTCATGTAGTTGGTATGTGAAATGAGATGCTGACACTGTGCGAGGGTCATCCGTTAAAACGAGAGTGCAAGGACACGAGCACGATGGACGACCGCACGCTTGCATCTAGTGTTTGATAGTATACACATGCTCGTGAACATGTGCTGTTGCTGATAAGT